GGTGAGTACCTGGACTCAGTGTTTGGTACTCCAACTTCTGGCTCCACTCAAAGTTATTTGATGAAGTCCTCTGTATCGCGAACGTCAACGGGGGGGTGCTAGTGGAGTACTTCGTGACCACAGAGCGTGAATGTTGTGATCAGCTGTTTTAGCGCAGTTCTCCAGTGAAGGGGGGGGAGTCTCCCTCCGCAGCCGGTTTGCGTAGTTTTGGCACAATTCCGTTGTAGAGACCGACGTTAACAGCAGCCCTGTCTGTGCACACGGAGTCCGGTGATCTAACCGCCTTCTGGAAAAGCTTCACAAGTACGTCGGTACGCAAACGCGCTTTGTGACACAAGTGAAGGTACGCATTTCAGATTGTTGCCGCGCATGCGTACCTGCGTACCAGTTATGTGCACCCCTGCCCATAGATTTACATGTTATAGAAGTGATGGTTTAACACAACAAAGCCACCAGGGGTCATTGTTGCTTCTTGTGTTTACAGCCAGGAAGTGTGAATAATAAGTGTATTATCAACTGGCAGCTCGTTTATGTTTTTGATTCATTTACAGGCAAATTCAACTGGAAGGGAAATATCAAGGCAGTACTGAAAGACTCCGATGACCAGGAGCTGCCCTTAAAGAAACTCAGGAAGAAGGTGAAGCATGAAGTGAAGTGTTTGAATATCATGAGTTTGATCCCAGCACGTTTTCTTCAGCTCTCTTTGGTTAATTATGATGTTAAGAGCTTGTTCTTCTTTTTTCAGGTTTTGGCAGCGTACTACACTTTCACTGGTGATGGAAACTTTAGAAAGGAGGAAGAGGTGCTTGCGATTTTCAACAAGAAGGTCACCAAGAATCCCAAATTTAGAGTTTTGAAAGAAAGAGTTAGACTTATAAAGTAGACCTGTTTGTCCCGCCCGTCTGGCATGAAACGTATTGTTCATAGACTTCTAAAATGTAAAACATCTTTGTTGTCTGCCATCTTCCCTCGGATGTTTTTGTACAGATGACCTAATCTCAAAGATTAAATCATTTTATAATTGAATAAAGTGTTGGTTGTTTTACTGATTGTATTGAAGAAGGCTTTTACAAATTACCTTACAAGGTGCCATTGTTTAATGTATGAAATGACAATTGTGACAGACGGCCGCTCTGTTTCACATTCCAAGCCCACGGTAAGTCTGGGAAATGGCACCTTATCTGTGGGATTGGATGTTGGAGTGGGGGAAGGGAAACAGGAGAGGTGCACCTGAGGTGAATTTGACTCTCACACGGGACGAAGCTAATGCACATTCCTCGGCACCCCGAACGGGGTTCACTTGGCCAGGGACACAGAAGCTCCATAGAAGCAAGATGCTTGGTGTCAGCCTGAGGTGAAGTTTTAATGCTGTCTGATTTTCAACCGCTAGAATGAGCAGCCTCTACGCTGCACGCACACACACACACACACACACACACACACACACACACACAGCCCAGCTTTATGAAGCTCTAGTAATCCCGGCAGGTTTAACACTGATGCTCATTCATCACTCTGTTCACCTGTAATTGTATATTGCATACTTTGGGTATTAGTCAAGCTGTTACTCAAGTTTTCTAGTATCAACATAGTGTTTTTGTGTTGTGTTTGTTTTAATCTAGACCCCACAGGATACTCCAGATAAACTGAAACTATACCTGTCTTTGCTGTTGCAAAACAAATCTTAGATTGATTTTTTTTATCTCTTCTACTTGATACTGTAAAATAATCTGTGTGGCCATGTGTTATCTGTGGGTGCAATTTCCTCCCTGAACTCATAACACTGTTTTAGGTAAAAAATATGACGTGTTCGTACTGAAACAATAATGATATTTAAAAAAATGCCATGCAAGTGAAAAGTAAAGTAAAAAAAAACGATACTATTTTTGATAGAGTTAGGGGTTCTACTCCCTAAACCTTGGTAGCTGGTGAGACCATTAGCTTAAAGTGCTAAAGTTAGCGTAAGCAAATTTGGGATTGATAAATAGTGGTGGAAGTCGTTTTCAGATCTTACTAAAAGTGGCACACATGGTTATAAATGCTCTGTTACATGTACAAGGCAATTAAACATCGCTCTCCAGTAAAAGCACAAAAGTATTTGAATTAGAATCAGGAATTTGAATTGGCATCCAAATATAGTAGTATAAAGCAGTGATAACAAGGGAATATTCAAGTAAAAATAAATGTACTTAGTTGCATTGCACCACGGTTGTTGACATTGACAGCTAGTTTGAAGTTTTTATGATCTTAGCAGGGAGCTTTTGATACATTATGTTTATAGAAGTTACATTTATTTTAACAGTCAAGTAATTCGACACACCATTTCGAAACTTGGCATTTATTCAATATATGGCCAAACATTTTTCGGGGGATTCCTAATCCTTTTATCAGCTAGTTTTCAAGTTGATATTTTTTTGTTTTAGCATTTATCATTACCTTGTAATTGTCACCCGTGGCTCTGTCTAGCAAAATTTGGTTTCCCTTAAATGTGACACAGAAAGCACAGTACAGCAGTGAGTACGTCTATTTTTATTTTGCTATCGTAAGGAGGCGGAAAACATGACCAGGTATTCCTTCTCTTACTAATCCCCTGGGCCCAGGAGTTCAAAACTTTTAATCCCTATCTGATCAAATCAGATTTGGATTTTGGGGAGTTCAAAACCAAAAAAAAGGATTAGGATCACTTTCATATCCGATCAGATCAGGAAATCCAATCCAAGCTTTAATCTGGATCAAATCTTCAAAATGGGTAGTTCAAACCGACAACACAGGATTGGGATCAGTTTGATCCCAAAAAACTGGATTATCCTGATCCCACCAGAGGGGTGGATTTCCAGTGGATTACCAGAGCAAAATGTAGCCTACTGTACAATTTATTTTAAAATATGTTTCAATTTAAATAAGATGGCAAAGTTTGTTAACTGAAATAATACACCATTTTTAGCCTTCATGGGAAATACATTTTATTTTTTCCATTTTTGCTCACGTTTGTGGTGGCCTATTTGTTTTCAACCAAATGTTGATGACATAAATGTTTATGCTCATAAAAGTATCACAGCAAAGATTGTCAATCACAAATGTAATTTAGATTAAAGTAAAAATATCTTCAACAAAAAAAAAGTCCATCATCTGTCATCACCTTTCAAATAAAAAAATATAATTAAACATTATAGATGTCTCTGCAATGTGGTCTCTTGTCTTCCTTGTATTATTTTTCATGTCCACTAGATGGCGATCGGTAGGATTATAGCACTGATATTCAGGATCTAGTCATCTTGAAAAATCGTAATCTGGATCAGGGTGATCCTATCCTGAATTGCTTTGAACTCCAGGGACAACATTTGGCCGATTTGTCTGATCCTGGATCACAAAAAATGGGATTTCAAAATCTGATCGGATCTGATTGAGATTAAAAGTTTTGAACTCCTGGGCCCAGGGTATGAGCCAGACTTCTCGGGCTGATATCTCAGAGTATGAGGTAACACCCTTATCTGGTGCATCTGCACAGGAACAACAAATGCTCAGTGGTGGAGGAAGTACACAGATCTTCTGTTTAAGTAAAAGTAGCCACAGGCCTATACTACAGTGATAGAAATCTTCATTCAAAATGTTACTCGGGTAAAAGTACAAGCATCAAAATATACTTAAAATGTAAGGTGTTCATTATGAAGAATGGCCAAATGCAGGATATTATATTATTGGATAACAATAAATGCAGTGTTTATCACTTCAATGATAACGCTGGTGCATATTTTAATTACAGGAGACTAATAATAGTATTCTTTAAATCTATAATCAAAATGATTTACGTTCAATCTTAAAAGAAAATAGCAGCTTTTAGTCGTCCAATACATGTTGTGGAGTAGAAGTATAAAGTAGCAAGGAAATTAACATTTCTTAAATTGTGCTTGAGTACAGTCTTTTAGTAAATATATTCACTTACTTTCAACCGTAAATGGGCACATGTGCACAAGCTAACATTTTACTACATGCCTAAGAGTTTGATTAACACTTGTAATGATTAAAGATGTATTGCAGTCAGTTTTAGGTGTACCTAAAAGGCATCAGATTTACTGTTGCAGAATGAGTGGTAGCAGCAAGTATCATTCACTTGTCTTCACTACACGTGCCCTGCCTGTGCCAGGTTGAAATTGATAGTGAATTAGTATAAAGGTATCAGCAGTGTCAGATTAGTGCCCGTGCTATGTAAAAGTATACATTCAAGATAAATGTTGGAGTACAGCCAGCTATTATGCATTCTGTAAAGTTTTTGAGGGATGGAAGCAAATGTGCCCTGTTTGACTTTTTTGTTCAAATATCCTCAGTTAGCCTTTGAGGGTCAGTTTCAATTCCAGCCCGGTGGTCCAGTTTGTTTCGTGCTGTCTGTGCCAAGAAAGAAGGATCTATACACAAAACACAGTGCTTGCATCAGACAATTTGGTTTTGTATTGATAAAAAAAAAACAATGGGCAATTCATATAAGGGAAATGTTAATTGTAAATATCATTTATTGTGCTCGCTCATGCTGCTCGTTAGTGTGTTTTACTACGTTGTACTACATGTGTGGGTACCATGTAGGCTTCTAGTTTAGCTTACATCAGCTTTCACTATACTCTCAGGCAATATTTGCAAATATTTTTTGCGAAAGCTTAACATTGCTTTCCATACTCAAAAAGTAACTTGTGTTTTCACCTTGTTTTCACAGGTGACAGGAATGGATAAGATTAAAGGAGTAGGCCTACATACAAAATAAGTAAGAACATATTTAGAAGTAAAACTGGAAGACCTCTAGTTCTTGGATTACTCTTTGATTTACTTCCAAAACATTTCTAATGAATACAATTTATATTTTTGACGTTGTATTGTCATATTGATATCGTTTAGCTATGTGTTCACGTTTGAAAAAAGTTTTTCTTTAAAAAAAAAAACTACAACTGTCGCTTTCGAGTGCGTCATAAGAAAGCGACTCTGTCTAACAGGAAGTGCCATCTAAACACTGCTTAGCCGTTAGCGCTGTAAGATAAATTTAGCAACAACAAAATGATGAACGACAGTGAACTTGCCACTTTGCGGAATAGATTTAAGAAAGATGCGGAGTTTCTTATGCAGACAAGGACACATGGTGACGAAGATGAGAAGAGTAAGCTTCAGAAACACTGTGTTTGATAGCGCTGTTAGCCAACTTTTACAGGGTATTTTAAGAAAGTGCTTCCTGTTAACACTTGAATGAAACGTTAATTTTAAACTCTGTTCCTCTTTGGGCACTAACTTAATGAATGTAAGTGCTAATGACAACACGTCAAATAAGCCGATCTTGGTGGCTAACCTGAGCTAACATAGTTGTAAGAAGACTAGCTAACTTGTATTGGTAAATCTATAGAAGGGCCAGTCCACTGGCTATATCGTTTTTTAAAAGCCTTTCATCATGTTCCTTTCACAAGTTGAATCATATATTTATAAAAGAAACACATATGTAACATTTTTAGTCTAATGTCGGGTTAAATGGTGGACAATTGTCCCATTTTGAGGCCCTTCCTGGCAGAAATCCAGCTATTCTTGATTGTTTTGAGTGTGAACAAACGCTGTGTCAGCTCAGACACATAATATCCTCTTCTCTGCTCACTGTCCTTAATCCAAGGGTCATGTCTTTGCCAGTGTAAACTAATAACTGTAATATAAGTTCGATTTTTCCAGTAGTAATCATTGCTGCTTTTATTCAAGTGTACACATCCTAGGTAGTCCTTCTGGCAAAACAAGGTGGTATAATTTCATGTCGTATCAAAGGTGGACCAACAGCTATAACTTTGATTAACAATGTAGGCCAACTATTTTCCAGGGCAGGGAGTTCACTGTGAACTCTGCACAGACTAGACCAGCATACTGAGACATTTAAGCAGCCAACAACATCCTCTGATATTTGGAATGAACCAGTAAATGATAGAGATGAATACCTCTCAGAGAAGTGAGATTATCTCAAAAAAGTTTCACCTAAAAGAAACTCCTTACCCTTTTTGAAGGAGGGGATTTAGCACAAGACAAGTCCACTCTCATATTTGGTAGTAAAATCTATACCAAAAGTATTTTATTATTTTGAATCATGCAATATGTAAGTATTGATGTACCACATTTAAGTGTATTTGCTATGAATAAATGTGTTGTTATAACCTTTTTAAGGTCTCTATTTTTCTACACATAGGATGAAACATGCTTTTGAAACTATTTATTCCGTTCTTTCTTTAAGGCCAGGAGGACAAAGATGCTAAGCCTCTCACTCGCATTAACAGACACTCCGTTTTCTGGATCGTGGCATCTGTAGCTGTTACCTACTATGTGGATTTCTTCAACAACATCATAGAGAACGAGGATATCAAAAGGTGATTTAATCACACACACATTTGTTGCAGCTGTTTTTTCTCTATTACAACCATTATAAGGCAAGTTGTGTTGAGTATGGTAAAGCAGGAAACAAATTGAAGTATTACACCGTTGTTTTGGGTATATTTCCTTTGAATGACCTATAAACACAGTAAACCTATTTGTTGGAAAGCATTGATTTCACGAAAGGTCGTTGCTCACGTAAAAGTAACATATTTTTTAGTAATATCACTGGTATATGATACCAACGAAACAGTGTCTCTGAAGCAGTTTGTGGTGTTAACTATATTTTATGTTTGAGAAGCTTTAATAAGTCCCTATAGATTGCGTTATACTTTATCTCTTTTTAATTCCTATTATCCAGTTGGTGGTTCAATGCGGGTCTGGGCCTCCTCGGGACCTGCCTGTCTCTGGCCATGTTCTGCATCATGTACCTGGAGTGTTACAAAGGCATCAATCACTACGAACAAGTGTACCCTGCCATTCCTCCCGTCACCACCGCAGCCTTCATTGCTGCATCTTGCAGGTAAAACGGCAAAAACACATTTGACTATAGGAGATTTTTTCAGTGAAAGTACAAATATTTATTTTCTCAAACTGTGAAAGGTTTTTTTACACAATGAACCTCTCCTATCTAAACATGCAATTTCAAACTCTTGAGGCTTATGGGGAGGGGTACAAAAATATTTGGTTCGACAACACTTGTAACATTTGTGGATTTATAGGCCCTACATCAGGGGTATCAAACTCAATTTCATCTCGGGCCACATCAGCATTATGGTTGGGCCAGTTTTATATATAAGACTATATAAATATACATATATAAATATTTAATATATATAAAATAATGTATTATATTACATGATTGCCTGTGCATTGGATTATTATCAGATAGGGTAATAACTTCATCATTAATTACGTCTCAAAGCAGAAGTCTAAGGCAAATAATTACAAGTCCCTTCAGTGAGAATGTCACAAAATGATTTAAAAAGAAAAGCCAAATTCTGGAGAAAAAAGTCAAAATCAATAAAAAGAAATGAAAATTCGAAAAAAAATGAGTTACATTTGAAAAAGAAAAGTCACATTTGAGATGCATTGTGGGACATGTAGTTTATGGGCAACGTGCTTCTGTAAAGCGGCATATAACCGTATAATAAACATATTATATTCTTTGCAAGCTCTTGTGGCCACATGAAGTGAAGTCACGGGCCGGATTTGGCCCCCGGGCCTTGAGTTTGACACCCCTGCCCAACATGCACGTTGAATACTCACATGTGTTTCATTTCTGCTTTATAAGGCACAACACAGTGTACTTAATTTAGACCTCTTCTTAGGACTGTGTGGATGTGTACAGGAAGGGCTTATCTTTGTTTCCCTAATTTTGGATCTCTCGTTCACTGAAACGTCACTTTTGAAAAACATATATTTTACTTACAGCGTGTGAAAATCTCTATCACCTTGCACTGGGTTTAACGAAAAAATAGGTTCTAACTAAGCCCCCATAAATCAGTTTGGAAATTAATTTATCCAGCTCGTTTTTCTTGATAGGATTTCATATAGTATAATTAAATTGTTGAAAAAATCCATAACTTTTTTAAGAAATATGTACAGCGATAGCTGTTATCACAAATAAAAAAATGTGAGCTGAAATTGCTCTTAGTTTACACATTAACATGTTATGCCTAGTTAATGCTGTTTTTTCTTATCTGACTTTTTCAACTCTTCAGTTACTTTAAATGCTTGGCCACTTAGCCTTCATTGTCCTGTGATTGGGTGATCCACATTGTTTAAAATGTTAAGAAATGTTCACATGAATCTGTGTCATTGGAGAGTGGGAAGCTTTCAAATGCAAAATGTGTTCATTTGGATGCTGCCTTAGAAAGAGAGACATGTGTGGACTTGTCTTGAGGAATTGAATATCCAAAAAGACATCACCGGCATTTTATAGCCTCCCGTTCTTCCTCTGCAGAGCATGTTTGTTTGTAGCCTTTATTTAACCAGGTGAAAGCCCCTTGAGATCAAAAGATCTCTTTTTCAAGGGTGACCTGCAGGACATTAGTTACACATGTAACATCAAAACAACAGAACAACAATAAGGATGACATACAACATAATATACAGGGTACAGTTTACAAACTCTATTTACAGAGTTTGAGTGACAACAGGATAGTGTAGAAACAACTAAGATTATAAGTCTGCATGTTGTAAATGTTATTTACTTTGTCTTGCAGCCTAAACATTGCCCTGTGGCCAGTGTGGTCCTTCCTCACTCCGCTCATCCTCTTCACACAGTTCATGGGTGTGGTCATGTTCATCTCTATGCTTGGGTGAAGACGATACTTTCCTTTCTTTTTCTACAAAAATGTATTTTTTGTTATGAATAACATTGCATTTGGCCTTAAACTGGACATAGACATATGGTTCCTGTGTTGTTTAACATGAAATATGCTTTGTACTAGTTTTCTTCGTATGGGTTTTCTCCCTTACATACACACATTTCTTAAACAATGCTTAGCTGCATCAACACACACTGGTGCCTATAACATTTAAAATCTTAGACACTCCAACGCTCACAGAAATGGTCCCATTGTCTCCCCTCTGTCCCTCACACCTCCCGGTCTTACACCTGCAGCAGGTTGATGTAGAGCGCCCTGAAACCACAAAGCTGTTGTCAGTGTGTATTGATGCTTTAGGCCGGGGCAGGTCAGCACTGTGTGTGTGTGTAACCTGAGAGTGTACCCATCTCACTTTATGATTTGTCACTGCTATGTTTTGCTGAAGAAAAGAATGTGTGGCGATGTGTTGCATTGTGTAGAGTGTTTGGCACTAGTGTGACGAGTGATTCGAGAATAGCCTCTTTCACAGCAGACATTTTGGCGCAGTAGGAAAAGGTGAAACTACGGCTTTGTTGATTTATTTTTATTTAAATACACCTGTGCTAATCCTAACATGACAAGTTAAAATATCCACTGTGAAAATGACCATGTGTATTTATATATGTGTGTGTGTGAGAAAGTGTTGTTACTGTTAATGAAACTAACAAAGATTTTAAATTATTTCTCACTTTTCGTTCTGGAGAATTCCAAGACTTCTCATATTGTGCAAAATGTTCTTTCTTTAATAAACATTTATAACTGTTCACTACTTTCTGAAACTGTTTTCATTGCAAGAACCTTGAACAAATACATAACGTAAAATAATAATGCTAACTTGCACTTTTGGCATTGTCAGAGGGATGTTGATAGAGGTCTGCGTTGACTTTATTGGAAGTACTGACTTAGAGTTTGTGTTTCTAATTTGTTATCCACTCTCATTTACACACGTAGCAAAAGCGCCTCTCAATACAACGCGATACAAAACAACAATAGTCACCAGAGCTGTGGGATTTGGAAAGGTCTTTCTAAAATAACAAAAGACCTGCTCAATATTTCACCATTATAAGATGAACTTTGGAGGCCCCATTTAATGGATTTTAAAGGCCAGTTTAAAACAATTTTTGATTGGATTTTCAGGTAGAAAATAAAAGAAAGGGATATGTACAAAATAATATTTAATAAGACATTTTGGAGGTTACACTTCTTACTTTCTGACTTTCAGTTTAACTTTATTGTCCAGGATGGGGTGGATACGGTATTCAGACATTTACTTATAATGATACTAGCGTGAACATATTAACTGCATTTAAGATTTTACTGAAGCAATAGTACAGAATTATTAAGTTTCAGAAATAATTGTGCAAAGTGTCTCGTTTCAGAGTAGTAGGCTATTTATTGTTTATTGAGTCTTTAGCATTTTTTATAAAATACAAAAAAATCATATGCACACTGGAAAATATACAGCATTAGAAAAAGAAGCATATATATTATGTATATGTTATACATACAGATATTCATGATCAAACAATATTCTATTTATAATAAATAGATGAATAACAGAGCTCCCAATACCTAGAATTGTAATGTTTCAGGGTAAACCACATTTACACATTTTGCATATTAGGATGTTCATTATATCTCATCACTATTGAAAGTAGTTTTTTAAAAGATGACAATTAATCTTATCTACAGTGATATTGCTTTGACCTGAAATGTTGTTTTAGGTATGTTGATGAGAAGCAAACAACAGAGAACTAATTTGAACACTTCCAGATTAAATCAAAATATGTTTAGACTTTAGCAGGCAGCCCATTGATTCAATTAAAGCTCCCTGATAATGAATGGATCCCACTCTTCCTCAGTGATCAACAAGTCGATATCAGTGCTTCACAGGGAAAGCCTCTGTCCTCGTGATGGTGGAGGCTCCACGCGATAGGTGATTGGGCCTCATTCGGTTTATAGAGCATGACAAATGTAAACAATGACTTTACTTGACATTTAGCTGACGCTTTTATCTAAAGCGACTTACAATATATTGATATCTGAATCAGGGCTGCTGTTGTTTACATGAAAGTTAATCGATTTTCTAATGTTTGGTACTAATTAACCACCAACTATCAATGGGAGACCCTCACCCTATTTCGTCCACGTTTTATATGAAGTCTTATGGCTGACTGTCACGAGGGACTGAAGCAACGTAAAGACTCCTAAAGCAGAAAAGGAGCTATTGTTTGCGGCTTGTATCAATTTCACTAATTGTATTTCACTTTTTAAGATGACCCTTTACAATGAAAAACAAAGAAACGTAACACTTTTTAGTTAATGATTAAAAGGCCCTGATGAACACTCCCATCCCCTCCTAAATTCAACACCAATCACCTCTCAATCGTGAGCAGTCGTTCCATTGTTATTCTGATTGCGCGCATCCGCTTGAGCTGTTTATCTCCAACGAGAGGTTACCTGGTCATATCCATAAAAGCTCCCAGTGCCTGTGTGCTCCTTCTTTATATCCACTCACAAAAAGCCATTGTGAATTTGACCACTGAAATCCGATTCTTCTCTTTTTTCCTCAACTTGAGGGTAAAGTTTTGAACACATCTCAGCCACATGAACATAAGGATTTGAGGAGGTGGCACTTGGATTTGCGGCAGGGCAGGTCATTTTCCTCCAGCCTGTAAAAATCGCAGGTTTGTGAAATGCCATCTCCCGTTTTATCTCACTAAGGCCTGTACGCTTAACACCCGATAGCCACCCTGAGAGGATTTCAGCAGACTTGGAAAGATTGTCTGGCGGCTGCTCCGGAGACGTGGATTTGTGCGGTTTTTTCTGTTATTGTGGATAATTCCTTGCTTAGTGTTTTTTTAATTTTTTATTCTGTATGCAGTGAATGGCTGGCACAGCAGGCCTAGTGATTTCTCTGAAACATATGGGAGTTTCATGAGTACGGGGGTCTGGGATCACCAAAGACTGAAACGCAATCTACCATTTTCAGTGACTCAGCGCGCCTGGTACGCGACCAGATATTTTCAGTTTCAGGTTTAAAGATGACAAAGGCATCTATCAAGTCCATCCTCAGCGAGGCTGGACATTGAAACTATGCGTGACCACTGAGCCGGACCCTTGAAGATTGAATGGGCATGTTTGGCACGGTACCTATTTGTCTGAATCCCCACCTTGTAGCAACAGGTTAGACACCTGGCCTCCCCCAAATGTTCTTATAGCGCTAGGCTTTGACTTTACTCCTCTCTCCGATATTTTCCCTCATGCCTCCCACCATGGTGGAGCACAACGGCCTGGACATGTGCCTTAACAAGTACTGTCACAGTTCCTCCTCGTCGTCCAGCTCCGAGCAAGACAAGAAGATGTTCAGCAAACTAAAACTCAGTTTGTCAGGGGATTACCCGAGGAAGAACGCAGAGATCCTCAGCGGCCAGTACGGGACCAACCTGCTGCTGATCGGGGTGGCGTTGATGCTGGCCATCTCGCACCATGGCCCCTCTGTCAAGGAAGAGCACCTGCTGTCCTTTGTCACATGCCTCATGATCCTCCAGCTGATCTGGATGATGTGGTACATCCTGGTGCGGGAGAGACAGAAAAACACGCGGACAGAGAAAGATGTCCACGCCACTACATGCTGGATAAGAGGTGAGTTTGTTTATAGCAGTAAATGCAAAAATAAATCTAATTGATTTAAATGTTTTCCATGTTTCTAGAGATGAAATGAGATCACACATCCACATAATGCAATATAAAATGGTTTGTGATTGATTGAACAATGTTTTGCTATATAACCAGAGTGACAGTTTTAAATTGATCTTTATTTCTCTGTAGGTGGTTTGACTCTCCTTGCACTCCTTTCACTGATCATGGACGCTTTCCGAATCGGGTATTATGTTGGCTATCGGTCTTGTGTGTCTGCTGTGCTTGGGGTATATCCTGTCATCCATGCAACTCACACCATTGCACAGGTACGTTTCTAAACCCACTTTGATTTCAATACACAATAATCTTTCAGCAGTGTTACACACTTCTTTGCTGTGCACCACTTAACCAGGTAGGTCTTTGAATAATGTGGTCTTTGTTGTTGAGGCGAGCACAGAGTTGCTGCAACAATATAATCCTGTCATTGTCCATGTTATTTGAGTGTTACTGACAAGGGAAATCCTTCTGGTGAGGGGATTTAAATTATACTCAAGTTGTTTTTGCTGTCTATAAAATAGGTTTTAATAAGAAACATGTTGGATACAAATGTGTCTTTTTAACTGTTGTGTCTTGTTGCAATTTGTTTAGGTGCATTTTCTCTGGTTTCACATCAAGGATGTCATCAAGAGCTTTGAAACATTTGAGAGGTATGTGAAAAGTGTAATTACATAATTTAACAACACTTTTTTGACATCACAATCATGAGAAATATCATCTTCAGCTAAAGAATGAGCAAAATATTGAATCTGCATGCCTCCAGATCACAACAACTTGTTCATAATCCTAACACTGCCCCATGCTGTCAAATGAACGCCCATAAACCTTGTTTCTCTCTAGATTTGGTGTAATCCATGCAGTCTTTACAAACCTCCTCCTGTGGTGCAACGGCGTCATGTCAGAAGCCGAGCACTTCTTGAACAACCATAAGAGAAGACTCTCGGCGCTGGGCTACGGAAACCTCACTATAGGTAAGGGCCAAGGGGTTGATTGCTGGCTTGTACCTGGAAGACAAGTACAATAGTCCACTTGAGAGCTCACTTCAATGGATGAAATAAATGAGGGAAGGAGAGGAGGGTTTGCGAGGGGAAGGGAGGTTAGATCCGCAGCCCAGTGGGTCTTGTTTGTGTCGAACGTCTCTCTATTAGGTTTCAGGAGACACACAGTGTTGCTAGTGCTAGTTCACCACCACCCTCCTTGGCAACCCCCCCGCTTGACCTCAGACGGCTTTGTCCCCAGGCTGCTTACTCCCATGGGTGCTGCAATTACAGTAACTGATACATCTAAGCCCAGGGTTGGGGGGTTCGGCTACTCCTCCTCATATCCGGCTGACTGTGAGGCTGGCTGCACCCTGACTGTTGTTTCATTTTTAATTAAAGACTGCAGTACCATAGTGGTGGCCTTCGGGAGGGGATGAAGGGGGGGTGGGGGCACACGGCAGGGTTTTTGTTGAGATGATCGCTAGAGGGCTCAGCATTACCATAGCGTGGCAGGCTTGACAAGGAGGAAGTATAAGAAGTGCATTGTCATCACCATCTCAGATTTTCAGCTAATGAGTCGGATTTCTAATAAAATCAGGAGAATATGACTAATGAATAAGACCATCAAGGGGTCGGATAGGAATTTATTATGGAACTTTGTGCTGCAAGATAGCGCCCAAACCTTTATTTTAAAAAACAGACACGATTTGAACTCGCTACCCTCTGAATTATTGAAAAAGGCTAAAAAAAATCCATTAAAATGTGAATGCCCTCACAAATCCAAATACTTAAGAAGTGGCAAAAAGGACCATGCTCATTTCTTAGTTGTAGGGAAGGGAAGAAACATACCGTGGTTGTGAGTGAACTGGTCACAATTAGTAAATAGTGTGAGACATTGCGGCTACAAGCAAAACCGTTGGGAAACACCGCCTTAGTAAACAGAGATGTGATCTTCTGATGCACTCTCTTGGACTGTAAATAAGATTGCACTGTAGCAAAAGGAAGTCAACAAACCCAATCTGCGATTCAAAATAGTTCTTTTTAAACATTTAAGATAAGATTGGATTAGAGTAAAGGTTCGGTGGCCCCTCAAAGATTTGTTTACAGTTAAAATATGTTAACATTAAATTACATACATCTTCAAAGCCCAGATACGACCTTCATTCAGTGTGGTCACAAATGTTTTATTGGAGTATATTCGAAAGTATTGCATTGTTCTATCACAAGCCTATTTTCATTCAGGAACATGTGTGCAGGAAAGGGACTTCATTTCATTTCAAACCTTTATTTATCCAGATTGTCCCTTGAGATCATAGATCTCTTTTTCAAGGGAGACCTGCAGCAATTAGGTTCCACGTGAAACATAAAACAACATAAAACAATAGAAGATATCATACAACATATTTACAAGCTACATTTACATACTTATCAACATTTACAAATACCCATAGTTTCAAAGAGCATTTCACTTAGTGACTTAGATTAGTGCACAAGTGTGGGTATGAATTTGTAAACTGATCGCGCCCCCCATTTGCTTCAATTCATTACATCTTTTCTCCACGTTTTGATTCGTCAATAGATTGAGACATGCATGAAATATTTTCTTCAAGAATTCAAGTTAACACAGGATGCATGTCGAATACACAAATGGCACTTGTGGATACGGTATTCCTCTAATGTTGTTTTAAAAGACAGCATTAGTATTAATGTAGAGCAGCATAAACATGTCTCTCATGAATTTGCATCTGTTTTTATTTGTCTTGCAGTGCACTCTGAACCCCACTGTAACTGCACCACCAGCACTTGCTCCATGTTCTCCAGCAGCCTCTTCTATCTCTATCCCTTCAACGTCGAGTATCACATCTTTGTCTCCGCCATGCTCTTTGTCATGTGGAAGAACATTGGGCGGACCATTGACCTCTCGTCGAACCGTAAGAGGCTGGCTACCAAAACCCAAGGCCTGACGGTTGGCCCCGTCCTGGGTCTTCTTGCACTGGCCAGCACTATCGGGATCCTGGTGGTCTACGTCACCCATGTGGAGGAATCCCTCAAGATGCGCCAGTCAGCCATTTCCATGTTCTACATTTATGGCATTGTCATGCTGGTTTTCATGTGCTCTGCTGGTGCTTCAGGTCTGATAATATATCGAGCTGATCACGTGCCGCTCGACACCTCCAAGAACCCCTCCAGACAGCTGGACACGGAGCTGCTGTTCGGGTCCTCCATCGGCTCCTGGCTCATGTCCTGGTGCAGCATAGTAGCCGTGTTAGGGGCCGACAGCAGCCCTCCTTACCGCTGGACCAACCTCATATACTCTCTGCTAATTGTGCTGGAGAAGTACATCCAGAACCTCTTTATCGTGGAGTCCCTGTATCGCAAGCAAGAGGATGGCGAGAGGGAAGACCCCGAGTTACCAGCTTCTCCAGAAATCTTCTCGGTGACGTCGTCTTTGGCCCCGCCGTACAACGGCATCATCAACCGGGCATATGTGACTCCAGACAGAAACTGCAGCACCATGGAGAACGAGCAGGAGGAGAGCGGACAGGTGTACAGATGTCCCAGGAAACCTTCCGAGGTGCCGCTGACCGTTGGAAACAAAGTAAAGGAGCCCACAAACATAAAGAGGCAAATCCTGAAAAACATTGCTGTCTTCCTGATTATGTGCAATATTTCGGTAAGCATTTGCATTTGTCAACCTGCATGTACATCATTACGTTAACGTTTTTTTATGGTAGTGACACACCCACAGAAAATTATCACTCAACTTTGTTGTTACCCGCAGAGCATTTGAGCTTCTTTTGGCTCATTATTTGGGTTTTCATTTTCATCACTCTTACTAACATAGCTGTCAGCTTTTTTAAGTGATGAGCTTGTATGTTAGTCCTGTAGGCAGACACAGATGTCAACTAGCTTTTGAACATAGTGAAGCATTTAGCAGCGATTGAGCAAGATATTTCCTCTAAGAGTTGGTGGAGACCAAAGAAGAGCCAACCGTGAGTGAAGCCGCCCAGAAACACAACTTCAAATGAGTGCTAAAATTGCTTTAAGTAAAGTGGTAGCCTTTTGCTAACAGCTTAACAAGGTCACTATAATGACGCTATTCAAAGTTACAGTTACGCCAAGGCAATGCCCTATCTAACAATGCTGACAAGAGTAAAAAATAATTGGTGTCCATAATACAACAGCTTTACTCAAAATGTAATGGGTTCTTACTTGGCCAATGCCTCACCCTTCCACCAAGTTTCCAAGCTTCTTGAAAATCAGGCTAGTAATTTTTAAGTAATCCGTAATCCTGACCTCCTTGGGGAGGGTGACAATATGTCAATGTATTGAGTACAGCAGGTTTTGCTGCCCCCAAGTGGCCAAAACAAGTAAATTCAGGTTTAACTAATTAAAGTTCTGTCTTTCTTTCAGCTGTGGATCCTTCCTGCCTTTGGCTGCCGGCCACAGTACGACAACGGGTTGGAACAGGAGACGTTTGGCTTTAGCATATGGACCACAGTTCTCAATTTCGCTATTCCTTTGAACCTTTTCTACCGCATGCACTCAGTCGCCTCCCTTTTCGAGGTGTTCCGCAGAGTCTGACATAATAGCAGACGGCTGACAACGCCAGATAACATGCACATGAACACTTGTCACCACCGGCTCCCGAGAGTGTCTCCAAGCACAGGTCAGCCGTTCAGGAGGCGGTCTGTGTCACACTCCAACAGACTTGGCAAAAAAGCTATGGAGACGAACAAAACTTAGATCCCTCTGTGTGGGGATTAAGGAGGAAGACGAACCTATTAGCCCATGTTCCTTGGAGAATGACCTTGTATAACACAAGGCTTATTAAAAATGGTGATGAGAAGGACCTTTGGTTTTGAGAATAGACCTTTGTACTTATTTTTCTGTAGTCACAGTTCAGTAGGCTTTCCTCACTGGTTCATTGTGTAAAATGGATATGCTGTAACCGACACACACATTTTGCATTGTTTCATGTTACTAGTATTTAGTAGCTCACTGAATACAACGGGTAAGAAACCCCTGTCACAAACATCTAATAGTACTGTATGCAAGAGAGCCACATGTGACCCCTACTCTATCTGAACTGAAGTGTTCATACTGTCTATGGATATGGTTCTCATTTCATTCCCTTAGTAGTTCAAGTCAAATGACGAACTAACACTTGAGCTGCAAAGGTAGCTGCAATCTGAGCACTATATTTTGTATTATCTCTATGAGTTGGACTACAGTTCTCGGACTCTCAGTTGTATAAGGTTGATCAATGTCGCTCTGTTCTATGATCCTCTTCTGTCAAGTTGTGTTCAAAATTACGTGTTTCGGCCTAGATAACAGTTTTAGGTCAAATAACAAATCCACTGTCAAAGAAGAGATTCACTTCATGGCCCGATGATGTTAAATAAAGGTGCCCCTATGTTGTCAAAAGTGAAAATCTTGTATCTAAATTGTTTGAGGATTTTTACACAATATAAAAGAATGAAGAGCTTGTATGTTTACACCTCAAAGAGAATCAATAAAACCCACCCCAGTCTTTGACACTACTTTTTAAACATATATACACAGATATACTGTATACTTGTACTGTACCATTTTTATATCCAATCAATGTATACCTAGTCAGTTCTCAACCTGGTGCTATCTCACTTTGTGCCAACTTATGGTAAAAAACATGTTTTTTTAATTTAGGTGCAAATCCAATGTTATATAATCTTTGTAAATACTGTTGTGCTGATCAAAATCATTCAGACACTGTGTTACGAGTTTTATGAAATTCTAATGAAATGGTGCTCATATGAAATAATGTGTACAATAGTGATGAGTGTATATGTTGAAATAAAGACTAGCTTTCTTTTGTTCATAAAGAGGACGTGTTAAATTTTTTGTGGTTTTCTGCATTACACCGAAGATCTCTGATCAATGTTCCTACATTGTTACCTTTTTATTTAAAAAGGTAACTCCTATTGAGATTCACTTTTTCCAGGAGAGCCTTGGACATTTTCACTGACTTTCTTGATAGGCTGGCTTTGTAGTACATATTTACTTCACAAGGTGGCGCCAAGTATTTATGCTTTTCCATGAGCTTAATCTGACAGTACAAAAACTCCATTCAACTACAGCTTGGATTATTTCACAATCATACATTTAGAGAGAATCAAAAGTATGCAGAGTCATTACATTTAGAGAATCACATTTTCTTTTCAGATATATGAATAAATGGGCATTTATCATGATCTCTTAACTGAACATCGACCATCAATAACTGTATTCGTATTTTCAATGTTTAACTGCTTTTTTTACTTCTAACATACAGCCACAGTATTCTACACAAACCATTCTAGACATTATTCTCTTCGACACTTGACAGACACTTGAGTTCTTTCAGCATGACAATTCACTGGCTCTAGTAACATTTGTTCTAATGTTTAATACGTGAAGTATAACAAATGTTGTTCCTGACACAAGTTGCCTCCTGCCTCCAGAGATTATAGGTTACTCCAGAGTATTTGGCATCGGGCGTTGGGGGATTATTTTTGACGTAGTGTCACAACGATTTGACAGGCACGCAGATATATCTAAAAATACCTCATGACGTTTCAAAGCCGGAAACGCCACTGCTGCTGCACAGACGGAGCCGGAGCGAGTCCGCAGAGAGTGTGAATGTGACTCACCTGTGCAGGGTGACTCTGAAAAGTGGTTGAGATATTTGCCCCATTCTGTGGTCGTCAATTCGCAAATAACCGTAACCCTAAAAAAACAACATAATGCATACTATTTTAAAAGACCCATTGGATTTTTTCCTTAAATCATACATATTAAAACTACAATATAGCTTTTAATGCCATGGTATAAAACCTGTTTCTAAAATACTGAGGGGATTCTGAAGACATTTGCCTTTTCAGCACCATGGACAGCTCTTTGCTCAGTTCCCTTTGCAATTACAGTTCCTTCTCCTCATGGTTTAAATAATTATGCTGATTGGGTGAGTCTAAAACCTTTATTAAGTTAATACAATTAAATCTCTCTTTGGTTCTTTATTAATAGTTTTGTCAATTGTGTGGACACACAGTTTGATCCTGCACACAAAACCATGTCTCCATATTGTTTCTCCTGTCACTGCAGTGTTATGTGATGGCCCATGGAGAGGATAGACGATCCATAACTGAAATATATCTCTAAACTGAATTTAAATTTGGCTCCTTCAAAAATGTTTAGGGCTTCTCCTCGCACCCTTTCCTAGCGCAGTGCTGTGCGTAACACCACCCACTAAGGAGGCGCGATTCTGCAACCAATACGCTCAGCCCTGGTCAGGTTAGTGCGCGTTAGGGACTCCCTGCGCACCCACACCGCGTGCAGGATACCTCGGACTGAGAGATTCGCAGGGGCAGCCAGGTCAGACGACCGGACCCAGGCACGAATTTCAACATGCGCTCCTCTCTGCTTACTGCGTCCCAGCTCCAAAGCGCACATGGCATGTTAAACGGCTCAGTTTTAAGGCGATCAATTTTATCTTTCTCTGTGTTTTGCACTCCACATCAGGCTGGCAACCGAGCGTGTCAATGGGAACAATACTATGAATGGCTGTTAACTGCGCCTGTCCTCGCGCGCGGAGCAATGGACTGCAGTTTTACCTGAAGAGACACATGGAGAACCCAGCAAAGTATCTCTCAGCGGTGCAGGTGATGGAATCAGCGCCGGCACCCCTCGGAGAGACTATGTGGAACACCACCGAAACGGAGGCAACAAAGGACGGTAGGACGGATTTGGTGGCGCGCACCGTGACGGGCTGTCTGCTGTCCCTGCTCATCCTGTTGACCCTCCTGGGGAACATAATGGTGTGCTCCGCGGTGCTGCGCTTTCGGCCACTGCGGACCAAAGTCACCAACATTTTCATCGTCTCCCTGGCTCTATCGGATTTATTCGTGGCCATCCTGGTGATGCCCTGGAAAGCTGTGGCAGAGGTGGCGGGGTACTGGCCGTTTGGCACTTTCTGTAACGTCTGGGTAGCGTTTGACATTATGTGCTCCACCGCCTCAATCCTCAACCTCTGCATCATCAGCATGGATAGATACTGGGCCATCTCGAGCCCCTTCCACTACGAGAGGAAGATGACCCAGAGAGTTGCCTTTGTTATGATAAGCATAACTTGGACGTTGTCTGTGCTCATCTCATTCATACCGGTCCAGTTGAACTGGCATAAAGCCAACGATGACGAAACAGCGGGGACGCACAACTCCTCCACGAGCCGGCTGTTGGAGGAGAACTGCGACTCCAGCCTGAGCAGAGAGTATGCCATCTCCTCCTCTTTGATAAGTTTCTATATTCCCGTTGCGATTATGATTGTGACTTACACCCGAATATACCGGATCGCACAAATACAAATTAGAAGAATAGCCTCCCTAGAGAGAGCAGCAGAGCACGCGCAAAGTTGCAGGACAAACAGAATAGAGTGCCAACGCCATAACACCTTGAAAACGTCAATTAAACGCGAGACAAAAGTTTTCAAAACTCTGTCGGTGATTATGGGAGTGTTTGTGTTTTGCTGGTTACCTTTCTTCATCCTAAACTGCATGGTCCCGTTCTGCGACAGGCCGGCCACAGATCGGGACGCGGGCCTGCCGTGTGTAAGCGAAACCACTTTCGACGTGTTCGTGTGGTTCGGCTGGACCAACTCCTCCCTGAACCCCATCATCTACGCCTTCAACGCAGAGTTCAGGAAGGCTTTTGCGAGCCTCCTGGGCTGTCGCAACTTCTGCTCCAGTACGCCAGTGGAAACTGTGAACATCAGTAACGAGCTGGTCTCCTATAATCAAGACACCCTCACCCACAAGGAGATCGTGAACGCATACGTGAACATGATGCCCAACGTGGTTGAATGTATCGAACACGAAGAGACTTTTGACAGGATTTCTCAGTTTTCTCACAACAATGAAATCCCCACCGACTCTGTTTGTGACTTGGAAGACTGCGAGGCAGATATCAGCCTTGACAGGATGTCACCGTTCACACCCAATGGAATACACTGACTCCAACGTTGTTCTCCCAGTGCATTTGGATGTATTACTTATAATAATCTCATCGTTCTTCACCTCTTTGGTCCCAGAAGCTGCTCTCCATATGGACCCCACATGGTCAGGATCTACCGCGCTCTGAGCAGCTGCTGAGGGACAAAGTGACTCATGCTCATGGACACTTCAGCAGGATGCATGCCTCTCTAGCCACCAGTCCCCCCTGCCGCCGCTTTATGTCAATAATGAGATGTGATGTTGTTGTCCTGTTCTGAAATAAGTGATGTAGGTGTTTATTTACATGACAAGTGAAGTCTGTGTTTCATCTGTTAAAAAGTTAAATGTAAGCTGTTGTTTACCGGAAAGGCTTCTGTGTCTCATCCACTTGCAGAGGGAAAAATGTTTGTAAAAACTCACATGAGGATTATAATGATTATAATGGAAACCTTTTTGCTGCTTAAAAACCTCCGTGTATCCAGTGCCCGCCTTTCCACTGAGTATGAAAACTGAGGGAAGCCTTACTGACAGTGCAACCAAGATATCTCTACTCAAATGCAGTCATTTTCAGCGCCTTATCTTATTTAAGGAAGAGTTTTGAGACGAGAAAGGAATGTGTCTAAAGTTACATGATGCCAAAATGCAGTATCAAAGTGTTTACCCACGCACTACACCCACCCTGATGGCTCCTCCTCCAGCACACCCTCTCTGCCTCCTTTATGCAGTTTGATCACAGATGGCCGGAGGAAAACACGATTTAAAGGCACCAGAACTAATGCTATAAACTTGCAAGAGTTACACTGAAATCCAAATCAAATAATTCTGACCAGAACCAGCAGTTATTAAAGCGGTCAACATCGTTAACTCTTTTCTGTGACCTTCATTTCTCCTTGAGGCCAAAACTACTGAATGGTTCTGCTTTATCAACCAGTCAGCTCTAACTGACCTTACAAAAGAAAAGAAAGGATCAAGGCTGTCCTGAACGACCAAAGATTTCAAGGAGGGAATCAATAACTCCGACACAATAAGGCTACGGCGTTTGTCAGCTGCAGGAATAATTGCTATAGAAAGCCTGTACAGACACGCACGCACGCACTCACGCACGCACGCACGCGCACGCGCGTGCACACACACACACGCACACGCACAAGGGCCACTGGGCCAACACAACTGGATGTCATACATCACCTCTCCAACACCTCTATCTTTGTACTGTACAGGTGATCTGATCTGAATGTATACTGTACTTTAAACAGTGAAGTGTGTCATCATTTGTCTAATAAAATGCTGTCATGCTGAGAGGAACAGAGTGCTCTGGTATTTTCCTGAAGGTCACATTACAGTTTATGGCGTTTCACGAGTGGACAAACTTTGCTGGGTTGCAGTTTTTTTTTTTTAACTTGAGTTCAACCTTCATTTCAAGTGTACTCAGCAGCTCTTATGCATATTCAACTCTGACCCCTATTTTTTTTTCAAAGTCATTTTTTAGCTCTTTGGACAGTTTCACAGCAGAGAAAAGAGTAGTACTTTATGCAGGCAAACAGAGAGTGAGTCAGAGGTCCCAAGAAGACTAAAACGGCATTATGTTAGTGTGTATGTTAGAGTCTGCAGCTCCTCCAGGACTTTTCCTTCGACCGTCATGTCCTCCAGATTGAAACACCTGAAATATTTCTTCCGACAGGGCTAGAGAGAATCAAATGAAAATAATAGGCAGTTGTGTATATATAAAGTAATAAAAAGTAATAAGAACATACCTTGAAGGACAGATCTGCCTTTCATGGTGGTGTCTTCTTCTTGGCAAGTGTTCACACATTTAACACACTGCTTTGTTTTCTTTGAACCGATATCAATACTTTCATACAGAAACTCTACCAAAGCGGGAGTAAATGCGTCAGTTGAATTGCCAACAGCATCTGTCAATTCAATCTTTCTGCAAGCAGAGAAAAAACACCCGCTGTTTAAAAATCCCGTCAGTGTGTCCATCTTATAAAGGTCTAGGCACACAAGACTTAACAGACACATTCAGCCTCTTGTATGTAAACAATTACAATAATAACTCAATAAATGCATTTATCTCACCCTTTGAGATTCTTACCTGCCTTTTGTCAGAAATTGACCTTTAATCTGGATGCTTGGAACTTACTTTTCAGTGGGGTTTATTTGAAGTACTAGGCACACTGATGGACGGATTTACAATTCACGTCTTCTCCGAGGGCTGGAATATGCATATTGCATCTGTAGAGAATAAAGAAATATAAAGTCTGAGCCAATTATCTCGTCCCTGTCCCACCAAGGAAGTCATTTGCTGCTGCAGTGTGTTCATGTACAGCATGCCAAGTGAAATAAATAAACATAAAAAATAACAACTTAATTTGAATTTCTAAAACTTTATGTGACCTTTCTCTGAACCCAAGTTTTCATTTTGACTCATGCATTGGGGGCATAGGAACAAACAGAGGCAGAAAAAATAGAGAGCGCTTTATCTTTAAGGGGGATTTTTGATGCCCTTTGTGACTCCAGAGGGAACTTTATGAACTCGGATACATTACTTCATTTGGAAACAACAAATCTGAAAATAAAAATATTATTGGGGTTGTGAGTTAACCAAATCTCTGCATTCTTTTTTAAACCAATAAATTAACTGTGTTGTAATTAAATCTCTCCCTCCTTGTTACTTTGTGATATTGTATTCTGTGAGGAAATGTCAATTACATCAATGCATTTAAATGCAATGTAAAATACTTAAGAGAACATAGCAACTTCTCCTTTTGCAATACAGTGGAGAGAAGTACTGTTTAATGTAGCATAACATTGAGATACTTAAGTAAATTACCCTAAATGTAGCCTTTATGTGTATATTGTATGATTAGTATCGTTGAAGCATTATTATTATATATATACATTGAATTGTAATCTTTTAATTGACTGCAGAATAATTAAATTAAAGCAGTTTTTTAAATATTGTATAGAATAATTTTAAACAAACAGACATTTTTCAATGGGATCACTCCAGCCCCTTCCCCTTTGTACCCTCGGTCTACAATTACTTCTAACTTGCCTTTACTTTGATCGAAACCACACATCTGTTAACTTTCGTGGATGCATCTTACATGGTTGTAAAGCTATCGCGGGGAGATCATCTTTTTCTTTTCTTTTTTTCACTTACATTTTTATTGACATTTTTATAAACATACAAAACCACATATAGTTCTGTATACAATTGAATCAGAGACCCATTGAAGAAGAAAAAAGAAAATACAAATAATAATAAAAACAAGCAAACAGTGACATGGAAGCTTTCTATCCTATTTCAATGCAACATCATGGTCTGGTTCCAACTCTCAATTTGTGGTGTCGTTCATTTTCCTTTTACATTCAACCCATTTTTCCCATTTGGACTCAAATTTCCCTTCCTGGACCCTCAATATGTGTGTGAATCTCTCCATATCAAATATTTCCTGTACTACTCCCAGCCATTGCTCCTTTGTAGGTGGATCTGCTTTGTACCATGCTCTGGTAATTGTTTTCTTGCTGGCAGCCAGCAGCACCTTAATCAGGTATCTGTCCCCACCCTGTGTGTTTTCCTGCACCAGATTCCCAAAGTATAACATCAGGCTGGAGATCATCTTTTTGCACACAGAAATCTAACAACTGGCAAAGTACTCAAAAACCTCCTCTGTGGAAGCTCCTTCTGCAGTAAGTGTCTTCAGGAGCATAATTTACAATGATGACACACCACACGCATACTCATGACATACTCAGGAGCTAAAGAAAACACCGGCATAATGACATTGCTGTTCTCCTCACAGGTTCTCCTCTGACACATTTTCCACAAATCAAGACAATCTTTTATATTTGCCTCATAAGAGGATCATCACACAGCTGTCATGGGATTTAGATGAAATGACAACGAGATAAACGCCAAATTGCCTGAATCCCTGCTGCAGTGCTCCAGTGATTATACACCTTCCACCTCCATCCTCTTTGTGATCAGTGTTTTCCCAAGAGGACAAAGATGAGAGATGGCGTGATGATCTGTGGATCAGGAAGTTGAGTCATTCAGATCTGAAAGACAGGTGATATCTTAGCAACGAGTAGTCAAACTGATTAAATTCAAGACGACTGGTGAAATTTTGATCAAACCTGAAACATTGATGCACTTTGACACTGCATTTTTAAAATGGACGGTTTAATTAAGGCCTGCTGTTCACATTTCTAAACCCATAACCTCCGCTGCTAATATTATTTAACTGGAGCCTGATTGATAATACTAAATATTATTTTATCTAAAACACATAACGCATTAAGTAATTTTGTCCAAGCAGTACGAAAATAGCAGTACGAAATAAGGAAGCATGCAGCATTGCCAGGGGTTGATGTGTTTACTTGTGTTCTCTGTGTTTACTTGTGTTCTCTGTGTTTACTTGTGTTCTCTGTGTTACGTCCTTGCAATGCGGAACAGATATGAAAGGTGGTTTGACCTCGATATGCAGCCGTGACAGGAGGGCTGGAGAGGAAGTGGAGGCAGGCTTAGGGCCGTTACACCATCCGTCAGGACACATTCATCAAAATCACTCCACCGGTCTCCTGCACACACGTACATGTCCACGCACAACACACAAAACAAATAGATGCACAACTGCTACAAGGTATTTGGTCTGAATCTCCTTTCTCTGTCAAACTTCACACACACACACACACACACACACACACACACACACACACACACACACACACACACACACACACACACACACACACACAAAGACCTTTGGGTTTTATTTTACCATCTCCTTTCAGTTCTCATTATGCTTTCCATACCTTCTTCAATCATCTAAGGACAGCAGAGAGGCAGTTTAACTCCCTGTCGCTTCGCCTCTCAAATGGCATTGTTAAGGCGGACACCACTTTAAGCGTATTGTAGCTGCATGAGTAACAAGTAAATGAAGCCTTTAATTACTGTGGACAAGCTTGACCTGTTTACCAGATAGTCCAGGATCGACCTGGGAATAACCTCGCCAAAATTAGAGTCTCGCCCCCTCCTCACACACCCTGCGCTCCCATGTTCCACAGTGACTTTTTCAACTGCGACTTCATTTTAATGAAGGCATGTTTTATTCTCATGATAAAAGAAACTGTCTGGCTCTGTCTTTTGACTTGCATCCTTAAAAAGAGACTTCATTTAGATCACTAAGCCATTGTTGCAAATCTGTATGTGAGAACAGTTTGGCTTTTGAAGATCAGACGTTTTGCTTTGAAACTCCTTCTTTCACCTCTCGGTGCCATCCTATGCTTCGTGTCTCTGTAGTGTTGATTTATTTTAGGTGAGCTTGTATAAAGATACCTTTTTCCTAAAGCTACTGGTATACTTCGTATGTCAAGCCTATGGCAAGCGAAAACTCTCATGATCTATTTAATAAGTCCCATTTTCTACAAGGAAAAACTCAAACTAGAGTGAAAATGCAATGAATATTTTTTGGCTGACTGGATCTGTCAATTTTAAATGTAAACTGAAATGCAATATGAAATGTATCAACTTCAAAACATTAGGTAAGCATTTTCCTTCAAGCGAAGAATGCAAAAATCCCAAGAGGTTTTCTCAAATTTGTAAAACTTATTAATTGTAACATTTATATTTATATTTTTCACATTTAAAGTCATAGTAAAATCATACTAAAATCAGAAAAAGGTTTGTTGTTTAGTGTATTGCAGGCTTTGCAAACATATTGATAGAGGGATTTGCAAAGTCTCTCATGAGAATATGTTCACATTGGCGGTCACACCTCCTCCACTTTACCGCTGAGCTCTCCAGGGATATGTGCTCAGCCCCCTGCTGTGCATGCTGTACACACAACTGAAGCCCTAGACATGTTTTTCTTTTAATACTTTTTGTTTCTCGACAAGCTTAAATATTAACGACTAAATATGCACCATACAAAGTCAAAGTTTGGAGAAAAAATACATCTCTGGGTATTATTTAAGCAGATACAATTTGCACCCGGGTGTCTATAGTCAACAATGGTATTTGCACCCGGGTGTCGATAGTGAACAATCATATTTACACCCATGGATTGAAGTTCCCTGGAATAATACCAGGGAACTTCAATCATTGGGATTGTCCAGGTGAAAAGTATGTTCTGCTTGTGTGAAGATGCTTCTGTAGACATCACAAGAAACTGATGAGATAACACTGCGAACTGACAGATTATGTTCTCATAATCAATAATGACAATTTTATAATAATAAATATGAGGTATAGAAAAGTTGTGGGATAGTCATTATTAAACTATGAGATGCTCATCA